AACAATCTTATACTGTAGTAATAGGAGCGGTGGGGCTGCATCCCCAGCACCCGGCCGCCTGCATGGCTAGCTTATGCCCCAAAATAATTACACGGAAACTGTATTGTTTTAAACACTGCCTGGCCCATTAGTTCCAGCCTCTTATTGGCTAGCTCTTACATATTGGTTCAACCCACTTCTAATAATATGTGTAGCCCACGAGCTGGCTTACCAGGAAAGATCTTAACCCGCATCTGTCTGGGGTGGGAGAATCATGGTGACTCACTGACTTGGCTTTTCTCCCAGCATTCTGTGGCTTTTCTCCCAGCATTCTGTTCTGTTTACTCCACCTACCTAATTTTCTGTCCTATCAGGGCCAAGCAGTTTTATTAGTTAACCAATGAGAGCAACAGATAAGCTACAAGACCCACCTCCATCATTATACAATAAAGGAACTTCTGGAGGCATCACCATCCCTGACTTCAAACTCTAGTACAGAGCTACAGTAATGAAAACAGCTTGGTATTGGCATAAAAACAGAACTGTTGACCAATGGAATGGAATAGAAGACCCAGATTTTAACCCACAAACCTACGAACAGCTGATTTTTGACAAAGGAGCTAAAAGTATACAATGGTAGAAAGAAAGCATCTTCAACAAATGGTGCTGGCAGAACAGGATGTCAACCTCTAAAAGAATGAAAATAGATCCATATCTGTCACCATGCACAAAACTCATTCCAAATGGATTAAAGACCTCAATATCAATCTGAACACACTGAACCTGATAGAAGAGAAAGTGGGAAATACTCTACAACACATGGGCACAGGAGCCTACTTCCTATGTAGGACCCCAGTAGCAGAGACAACAAGGGCAACATTGAATAAATGGGACCTTCTAAAACTGAGAAGCTTTTGTAAAGCAAAGGATACTATAATTAAGACAAAAGGCCACCTACTGACTGGGAGAAGATCTTCACCAACCCTGCAACAGACAAAGGTCTGATCTCCAAAATATATAAAGAATTCAAGAAACTAGACCTTAAAATGCTAATCAACCCAATTAAAAAATGGGGCACTGAACTGAACAGAGAATTCTCAACAGAAGTTCCAATGGCCAAAAGACACTTAAGGTCATGCTCAACCTCTTTAGTGATCAGGGAAGTGCAAATCAAAACAACTTTGAGATACCATCTTACACCTGTGAGAATGGCTAAAATCAAAAACACCAATGATAGCCTTTGCTGGAGAGAATGTGGAGTAAGGTGAATACTCATCCATTGCTGGTGGGAATGCAAACTTGTGCAACCACTTTGGAAATCATTGTGGCAGTTTCTCAGGAAATTCGGGATCCACCTACCCCAGGATTTAGCAATACCACTCTTGGGAATATACCCAAGAGATGCTCTATCATACTACAAAAGCATTTGTTCAACTATGTTCATAGCAGCATTATTTGTAATAGCCAGAACCTGGAAACAACTTAGATGCCCCTCAATGGAAGAATGGATAAAGAAATTGTGGAAAAATTAAGCATTGGAATATTACTCAGTGGTAAAAAACAATGACATCTTGAATTTTGCATGTAAATGATGGAAATAGACAACACTGTCCTGAGTGAGGTAACCCAGACCCCAAAAGATGAATATGGTATGTACTCACTCATAAGTGATTCTAGCCATAAATAAAGGACATTAAGCCTCTATTTCGTGATCCTAGAGAAGCTAAATAAGAAGGTGAACCCAAACAAAATAGTTATCCTCCTGGATATTGGAAGGAGACAAAATTGCCAGGCAAAAACTGGGAACTTGGGAGTGGGGGTAGGGGATAAGGGGACATGGGGTGAGAAGAGTGAGAAGGGGAGGATGAGAAGAGCTTGGGGGAAGGGGAGGGCTGGGATGGAGGAAGGGTGGATATAGGAGCAGGGGAGTATATATCTTAATTAAGGGAGCCATTTTAGGGTTGGCAAGAGACTTGACTCTAGAGGGTTTCCCAGGAGTGTAAGGAGATGTCCCCAGCTAGTTCCTTGGGCAGCTGAGGAGAGGGAGCCTGAAATAGCCCTACCCCATAGCCATACTGATGAATATCTTGCATGTCACCATAGAATCTTCAT